TGTAGTTGGTAGAATATTACACACTTACTTTCACTGATATAAATTTACTTTCTTATATGAGCATGTGCTTACACACACACACACACACACACACAGAGAGAGAGAGAGAGAGAGAGAGAGAGAGAGAGAGAGAGAGAGAGTATTAGCTCTGAGCAGGCATTCTGATTTATGGAAAGGTTAAACTGATTGCTTAGCAATCTGTTGTGGGTTTTGTTTGCTTGTTTTGCCACCCAACAAAACTCCAAATTTGGTGGGGATATAGCTCAGTTGGTAGAGTGTTTGCCTGGCCCTGAATTCCATCCCTAGGACCACATAAATCCAGGTACACTTAGGAGGTAGAGGCAGGATGGTCAGATGTTTAAGGTCACAGTTGAGCACAAAGTTCAAGGCTACAGACCTCTGAAACAACAAGCAAACAAATCCAAGTTTGGCCAAGAAGAAAACAAATCCCTATGGTGATTTTTTTTTTATTATGGTGAGGGTGGTGACTCAATCATAGGCTGAATTTTTAAATTGTCTTTTATTTATTTATGTATTTTTTTAGGTATGAGTGCTCTGTCTGCATGCACGCCAGAGAGAGCTTCAGATCCCATGATAGATGGTTGTGAGCCACCATATGGTTGCTGGGAATTGAACTCAGGACCTTTGGAAGAGCAGCCAGCACTCTTAACCGGTGAGCCATCTCTCCAGCTCCCATAGGCCGAATTTTAACTTTTCTTGGAGTGTATTTTGTGGACTTTTTCTGCCATCACCATCAGTGGCCTCAAAGAAGACCTGCTTCCTTTTTCCAGTTCTTCCAGAAGCCAAGAGGAGACTGTCTTTAACTCAGAATACTCTCAGTGGCCTCAAAGAAGACCTGCTTCCTTTTTCCAGTTCTTCCAGAAGCCAAGAGGAGACTGTCTTTAACTCAGAATACTCACCAGGGGCAGCATGGAGAGGGGGGGAAGAACCCTTAGGATGAGCCAGGGTTCACTTCTGGTCTCACCATCGTCTACGGTGTGCCCGTGAGCCTCAGCTGTTGCTCCTGTGTCACCAGCTTACCACCCCCAACCCCCCCCCACCCCCGGTCTTAGTCAGTGTCCTATTGCTGTGAAGAGACACCATGACCACAGCAACTTCTACAAAGGAAAACATTTAATTGGGGCTGACTTACAGTTCAGAGGTTTAGCTCATTATCGTCATGGTGGGAAGCATGGTGGCATGCAGGCAGACATGGTGCTGGAGAAGGAGCTGAGAGTTCCCCATCTGGATTGGCAGGCAGCAGGAACAGAGAGTGAGCCACTGGGCCTGGCTTGAGATTGTGAAACCTCAAAACCCACCTCCAATGACACACTTCCTCCAATTAGGCCACACTTACTCCAACAAGGCCACCTGTCCTAATTCTTTCAAATAATGCCACGCCCTGTGAGCCTATGGGGACCATTTTCATTCCAACCACCACAGCTCCCTTCTAAAGTGCCCAGCCAAAACAAGAATTGAGAATACCACAGCAAAGCCAACTCTGTGGTACAGCTGAAAACGTCTCATAAAATGGACTGGTTTTGTGAGTTCTTAAAATGTCCCTTTGGGGGCTGGAGAGATGGCTCAGTGGTTAATAGCACTGGATGTTCTTCCAGAGGACCTGGGTTGGCTCACAATCATCTGTAACTGCAGTTTCAGGGGATCTGACAGCCTCTTCTGGCCTCTGAATATGGGCATGCACATGACTCATAGACACATAAGCAGGCAAAACACCCATACACACAAAAAAAATTTAAACAAACAAACACAAGGGGGACCTGGTAGACAGGGAAGTGAACTGTGAAGAGGTGAGATTGACTTTGACTTTGTGAATCTGGATCAAGATTTCAGGGAATCTGATGCCAGGCGGTTTATTCCCAATAAATTTAAACACAGTATAATTTGTAAAAAAAAAAAAAAAAAAAAAAAAATTGGTGAAAAAATAAAATCCCCGGCGCACAAGAAAGCAAGGAAACATAATTACAACAAAACCTGACTAGGTACATGTCACTTCTTCCAAGAAGATGGTTTCTGGATTAAGCTACCTGTACTAGCTTAAGGGCCTAAATGGGGGTCTGGTGTAGTCATGGTCATACATATAGAGTAGAGGTCATTTGGGCTATTAGCCACCTCTGTTTCCTGGTTGTAGGAGCTTGGGGGGAGCCTCTGGCTACACAGATAATGTAAGGGTCACTTAGTAATTAGGAATCTCTGGTCCTGGCTGAGGGAGCTTGGGGAGCCCCTGGGTATAAAGGCCATTTAGATTACTAGTCACCTCCAGGCCTGGTTGTAGGAGCTTAATATGGCCTGACCCAACAGATAACACAGATCACCAGGCTATTATTCACTTCCAATTCTCAGCTTTCTGGATGGAAAAACAGGTTTTACATCTTTCCCATTGGAAAGACGATCCTGTGTGTTTAACATTCTGGTTTCTCTGGAGATCTGTGGGTAGAAGGACGTTTGTCCTTTGTTCCCAACACAAGCAGCAGAAAACATTTTAAATGTCCCTTTAAAGCCTAGGAAAGACTATCAGAGGGCCACTTGATTAAGAAAAGTAAATTAGCCGGGTGGTGGTGGCGGCGGCGGCGGCGGCGGCGGCGCACGCTTTTAATCCCAGCACTCTGGAGGCCGAGCCAGTGGATCTCTGTGAGTTCGAGGTCAGCCTGGTTCACTACAGAGCGAGATCCAGGACAGGCACCAAAACTACACAGAGAAACCCTGTCTTGAAAAAACAAAAACAAACAAACAAACAAAAAAGAAGAAAAAGAAAAAGAAAAGAAATTAAGTCCTCTGGGCCATGGAGATGCTCCTGCAGGTAAAAGTACTTGCCACCAAGCTTGATGACCGAGTTCTATCACCAGGACCCACATGGGCGAAGGAGAGAACAGACTGCCCCGACTCTCCTCTGACTTCCTCACACACCCTATGGCACACATGCATACATACAATAAATAAATAAATTGTAAAAAAAAAAAAAAAGCCTTCTTTTTAAAAATT